GGGTGTACTGGAGCCTGCCCGGAGCACCGGGTACTGTTCCAGTACGGTGCTCCGGAGAGCCCACCCGCCCATCCGAGCTCCTTACCTGTCGTTTAAGCCTTTGGCGCTTCCGCGCACGTGCATGGCACATACGGTTCTGCGCGATGCTCCGCTGAGCAGCTGGAGTGTCGCGGAGGCTTGCAGAAGCATCACAGGCAAGTACGATGCATGCACACGCCGGGAGCATCCATGTGGGTGATGCCGGGCCCATTCCAACTGTACCGGTTAGAACGGGATCCGGAACCCACCACTGATCTGAAATGACCTTATATGTCTTTACTAGCTATTGTGTCTTTACGTTTCCCAAGCAGGAAACTCATGGCAAGAAGTGGTGGGAAAGGAAACAGGATCATAGGCCCAGTAATATGTCAGATGCAAGCTATAATTCTGGCAGTCTAGAGATATGATTCAGAGTTTTGCTACCAATGCTGAAGTTTAGCCACCTCTTTTTATGTAGGTTGTACTTTTTCACATTTGCGTCCAATTTAATAATGCATAGCAAGCAATAATAACTTGGCTGTGTTGACCATGGCAACAAAAGAGACAGGAACATAAATATTTCACATCCTCCACTTACCTGAATTCCTTTGAGAGAAGAGGCACCCATGTAAAGAAATACACCATAAAGTACTGGCATGGGAATAAACTGCAAAGAGTAGAAGGAAAATGTATATCGTCTCAGTAAATTGGTAGTGACAGGCAGCATGAAAAAATGAAGAACCTAGCAATTTATTTATTCATACTGTATTTTTCCATCAACATCTCACATAAGAGCAGACTGAAGGTGACACTGTCCACCTCCATGGATGATGCTTCATTGCTGTAACATTGGCCTGCAGGGTTCACATGCAGAGCTATGCTGTATTGGTGTTTTTTTTTAAACTTAACTTAATGAGTGAACTCAGAAATTGTGGGTTACAATTTATGGCTTTAACGGGTCATCATAACTTGAATAGAATAAAATAGAATAGAATAGAATAGAATAGAATTCTTTATTGGCCAAGTGTGATTGGACACACAAGGAATTTGTCTTTGGGGCATATGCTCTCAGTGTAC